TGGCTCTGGCTCTGGCTCTGCGCAGCGCCGCCGCATACAAGACTCTTCCGCTGCCCGCGTCCAAGCACCAGCAGCTTCCATTCAGTCTCTTCTATTCTGTGATCTAGCTTTCTTGACGTTAGCTCTTTTTCTACAAAGTCTCAAGTCTCGCCCGCTCCAACGCGCGCCAAAAGAGTAAGCCATCATACTTTGAAGCTTCTGCCCTCCCTTGCCCAGTTCGCTCTACCAACTGTACCAAGAGGAGATTGATTGCCCTATTTTTTTTTCTCTCTATCTTTTTTAACCTTCTGGTTCCCGGGCTATCATACAGCCACCGCCCCAAGCTACCTTACAGTACTCAGTTACCTTTTACCACAGGCTACTTATTACTACTTGGACTCCCCCCCTTTTCCATCTCAACTATCTTTTCTACCCCTCCCGCTCCACCACCAACTTTCCCATTGACAACCTAACTCACCTCTTTGCCTTTCTCACTTCTTGTCTGTCATAACAATCTACTTTCTTCAAAGAAACCCTTTGACACTCTACTCGAGAGAGACGATTCTTCCACTCCGTCAGCGTTACTCAGATTGCTTCACCACACGCTCGACAACCAAGCGCAGCTCAATTGCAATTCGCCGATCAATTTGCGACAAGCTGAAATTCCGGACTTTGTCGCGTTCCCTCGACGTTGGGTGACTCAGCCAGTTCGACCTCGATCTTCGGACTCCCTTGGACTTGTCACTCAAAGAGCCTGCGGCTTCTCGGAATTGATATAGTTTTCCATTCGAAATTGCTCCTGATCGAGATCTGCTCTGAAAAAGACCCATTGAACTTTCGGCAGTTTCGGGTTTACCACATCGACATAAGAAAACCCACCAAGCGCAGGACGTTGGTGTTGACATTTATCCTGGCTACGTTGCCCGCGCTATCGAAGGAGGTGTTTGTAACTTAAGCTACCCCAACCTGACCAACCTGTGGTTCTCGACGGACTCCTTCATTCTATTCAATCACCTGGACCAGTGATTCTGCGCTGTGCTGCAGCTCTGTGCCTGTCAAAGACGAACGCCCTGTTTTGCTTGATCCAGCGACCCCAAGGCGGCCCAAAAGGAGCCACCTGCATATCCCGCCCTCTGCCAGCTCACCACGCTGCTGCGAACTTGGCACATCATCACGCCTCGGATCGGCCTTGTCAGGACCTACCCAGTCACCCGCGTGTTGCTCAGCATCACTACCCTCGCGTAGTCCACTCAGCAGCACCATAGGCTTCCTGCGTCCCTGCATCTGCATTCATTACGTGCTGTCGACACTGCCCTGGCCTTTCTGGCATCCTACCTGGCACTGGCTGCACCCCAGAGTGACAGCTGCTCCACGAGGGATCGGCTTCCGCAGCCTCTTCCCCGCAATTCGCGTCTCTTATCGTTACCCCCAGGCCAGACGTCCCACCATGGCTCCCCATTCTGACTGAGCTTTTATATACGTCGATGCAACCTTCGAATGCGACCTGTCTCGCCCTCATAGTGTAATCACAACTCTCAGCACGACCATGTCTTTCAGCTTTGATTCAGATTCGAAATCCACATTAACAACTCACAACCTATCCGAAATGTCCTCATTAACACGTTCTCAACTTGGTCAGGTCCAGACAGCCTTTCCTTCACAAACACAACCAGTCCCCATTCCTATGTCAGCTATCAGTGCTTCATCAGGAGCTTCAAACTCACAAGAAGGCTCACCACTCATGTCTCCCGATACTGCTGTTCTAACTACGTACTCCTCCGTCCAGCCCTCGCCTGAACCCATGCGAGGTAGGGAGGAGGAGGTGTTCCCTTCGAGCTTCCAGTTGCCCGAATCTGTGCTGTCCCGGAAGACAAGCACAAATTCTCTTGGATACAATGCCATGTCAGAAGTCGCCAACAACAGCAAAGGAGGTCTCATTCGCCGATTCTCAAACCGAGCCCAACGATTTGCAGGCAGAAGACGACCATCTTCTGGTGCCCCTGCCAGTCGTGATGGAAGTGTTGGTCCCAGCATTCTCAGACGCCGCAGTGACAGCAACGCTACAGCACCCCAGGAGAACAGCGCCTTGACGGATACCGATGAGGAGCCTGAGATTATCCCCGACGACTGCATCTCCATGGTTGGACTTGATGGTGCTACCAACACCTCATCCGCCAACAGCACTCACGGATCCATCAGCGGAAGTGCTGGAGCTATGGCTGGCCCAGTGCTTCCGGCTGAGCTTCGCAATGGATGCCCAGTGAGAAAGGTCTCAAAGAAGAGCCGGCCTAAGAGAATCAACCTTGTATACGAGACCGAATCCAACAAGCTTTCTTGGGACGCCACCCGACCTCAAAAGTCTCTCCATGTCGATGAGATTAGGGAGATTCGAACAGGTTCAGATATCCAACAGTACATCATTGACTATGGCCTGGGCGAAGAGGCGGCTAAGTACAGCGACAAGTGGTTTACTATTATCTACACAGTTCCCGAGAACTCGAAAACAAGATTTCTGCACATTGTTACAGACAACACTAAGAGCTTGTCACTTTGGACAGAATTCTTGGATGCCATGTTGAGATACCGTCAGGAGCTTATGACATCGTTGATGGCATTCAACGACCGCGCTGTTGCACAATATTGGCAAACAGAGATGGCCAAGGAGTTTGGCGACCAGGTTCGAAGCCCCGAGCAAGAGGAGATGAACATTGCCGGAGTGAAACGCGTGTGCCAAAACCTTCACATTTACAGTTCACAAGCGACCTTGGAAGTCAACTTTCACTTGTCTGATTCGCGACGACGACAAAAACTAAACTTTAGGGAGTTCAAAGACTTTGTTCGACGCATGAAGCAAAGGACCGACGTTCAGCGAATTATCCGCAGCTTTGCCGCCAATCCCGAGTTCGGTCTTACCTCGACAGAGTTTCTTACTTTTCTCCGCGACGTCCAGGGCGAGGATGTCGATGCTAACCGCGTTGCCTGGGAGAAAATGTTCTCTCGGTTTTGCCGCCAGTACCGCAATGACGAGGCCGATCTTCCAGAAAACGCCGAGACTATGTCCGAAGCCGCCTTTGTTGGTTTCTTGACGTCAGAGCATAACGATGTGATTCAACCCGAGCCTCAAAACATTGTCCTGGACCGCCCGATGAACGAGTATTTCATCTCAAGCTCTCATAACACCTACCTCCTTGGTCGTCAGGTTGCTGGCCAGTCTAGCGTCGAGGGCTATATCTCAGCTCTTGTCCGGGGATGCCGATGTGTAGAGGTCGATTGCTGGGACGGCTACAACGGTCAGCCCGAAGTTAACCATGGCCGCACCATGACCACTTCAATCAGTTTCAAGGAGGTCATGACCACCATCAACAAATACGCTTTCGTCAAGTCCAAGTACCCTCTTTGGATTTCACTCGAGGTCCATTGCAGCCCGGCTCAACAGGCGACAATGACGGAGATCATCAAGGAATGCTTCGGTTCAAGATTGGTCACGGAGACTTTAGAGGCGTTCCCCGACAAGCTCCCCACCCCTTCTGAGCTTATGGAGCGTGTCCTCATCAAGGTCAAGAAGCCTCAAATTAAGGAGGAGCCTGTTTCCGTTGGCAATGACTTCCGTGGTCGACGAAGGGGTAACAGCCTCAACTCGCCTATGATGCGACCCTCCGCTCCCGATGGTACTCCTTTGATGCCCTCTCAGTCCCTTCCCCAGAGCCCAATGTTGACACCCAGCCACTCCTCGCGACGATTGGTCAGCAAGACCCGTGTCAACACTATCACTGAGGGCCGTGTCCAGGATATGATGAGCAGCAGCACTAGCGACAACGAGAGCGCAGGTGAACAACCAGCCAAGAAGGCCCCCAACAAAACTGTCAAGGTTCTTGGTGAACTGGGTGTCTACTGCGCTGGTGTCAAGTTCTCTGGCTTTGACACAGTGGATGCGAAGCAGTACAACCACATCTTCTCCTTCATGGAGTCTAGCTTTGCCAAGCACTCCCGTGCTAAAGATCAGAAGATGGCTCTTGATATCCACAACATGCGTTACATGATGCGCGTCTACCCCGACCGAACCCGCATCACCTCCAACAACTTCGACCCTCTTATCTACTGGCGACGCGGTGTCCAGATGGCCGCTCTCAACTGGCAGACTTTCGATCTCGGTATGCAACTCAACCGTGCCATGTTCGATGGCAAGGATGCTTCTGGCTATGTTCTGAAGCCCGCCGAGCTCCGAGATATTCAAGTTCTCCCCTACAACTCCGACATTGCCGAGGGCAAGAAGGAGCGTAGTGTTGTCTCATTCAGCATTGATGTCATCTCTGCCCAACAGCTTATGCGACCTGCCAACCTTCCCGCCAACAAGTCTATGGACCCCTACGTGGAGATCGAGATCTTCCACGCCAACGACAAGCGCGACAAGAAGGAGGCTGATTCTAACTTGGTTATGGAGCATGACTCGCCCCTCAAGGTCCAGACTGAGGTGATCCGCGAGAATGGCTTCAACCCCATGTTCGACAAGCAGTTCAAGTTCAAGGTTACCACCAAGCACCCTGACCTGATCTTCGTTCGCTGGTCCGTCAAGCTCTCCAACGATGGCGAGAGCTACAATGAGCGCCCTGCCGTTGCTACCTACACCGCCAAACTCACCAACCTCAAGCAGGGTTACCGCACCCTGCCTCTCCTCAACCACGCTGGCGACCAGTACCTTTTCTCTAAGCTCTTCTGCAAGATTAAGGTTGACTCGGTCCAGAAGATGCTGATTGATGCTCCTCGCCGAACCCAAGACGGAAACAAGCTCAACCGTCTTGGTGGCAAGGTCTTCAGCCGAATCAACACCAGCCCCAAAAGTACCATTGAAAAGTCTAGCTCCGAGAAGACGAGCTTTGACAGCTATTGATTACCAACTGAGTCACATTTATCTCATCTGTACGAACACTTTTTTCAACCTTCTTGGATATAATTCTTTTTACCATTCACTTCTCGATCGATCGATACTGAGCCTGGCGAGGCTGGATCTGGACACTGCTTGAGTCTGATATCGACAAGGATCTTGGGCAAAGGATATCCGAAGCCACCCTATGATATTAGTCACACATCTTTATTCCATGATCCCAGGAGGATCCTGGCGCGACACGCGATGGGACTGAAGGGATCTGTGACTTGATGGCTGGAACCTGCGTCATTACTGTTTACTTTGTTTGTTTTCTTTTCTTTTTATTCAAGACAGGGTTGAAGCGTTTGAATAACCCTTTTGACAGTACCCTCCGGTACACGACGATTTCCTTAAAAATACGGCGCATGAAAAAAACAGTTAAAGATGGACAAATACCCCCTTCAGCGTGGATGGTGTTGGTCATTAATGGGATTCTATGTTTATATTATTTTTATTGTCGCGGCATTGAAAGCTGCTTCTATGGATCAAAGGAACAGGACGGGAATGAAAAGGAGTCTGCATACACCACGCTTGGCCGTGATTTGGGAGCGTCAGGGAAACTTGCATTGCACTGGGGAATACCGGAATTCACGTATTATAGATCGGCACAAGGCAGGGGAGCCAAACACTTGGGAAATATCTCTTTTCTGCTGAAAGCACTTTCACTCACTTTACTTGGCCCACAATATCTCTCTCATCTCTTGACTCTCTTGTTGATTTTACCACAATCTGATGTCATCAATGTCACCTGGCACGGGAGACGAGATGATAGGAAGAAGGTTATTGCACTGGCATAAGGGAGAATGGAATGGCTGGTGGAGAACATAGGGATATCCCTCACATTTTGAGGCCTCTGAGATGGAACAATGGATCGACATAGGGAAATCATGATATACACATACCGGTGGCTCACGCTACAACAAACAATACAAACAAACTACTGGGCCACCCCCTCAATCTGGGGATAGGCAATATGCCCCTTCCCCCTTTTTGGAAGAGGTCTTCTTGGCCTTGACTCAAGGCGAAGAGGGGAATAATGAGAAATGAATAATTTTACAAACACATGAATCTCTGATCAAAGTCTGTGACCCGTATTCTCGTATTATACCCCTGTTCCCTTAACAAAATATCTATAAACTAATCTCCACAAGTCAACTTCCTAATCCCAGCGACGAAACCGCCTCGTTCTTATTTACGCTTCTCACTAAAAAGCGCTCGTTCCATATTCGTCTCGTCTTCCCCGCAGGGTCCCCCCCTCTCCAATGCTGATCTCCACGATCGTCGCTGGGGGGTGTGCGCCCGTTGAGAAGAGGACATCGTATGGAATGAGAATGAGGCTATTCTGGGTTTCTGGAAGAGGGGGGTTGGATAGTGGAGTTGAAGATGTCATTTCAGCTGGACGTTGCAAGCTTTGTAAGCGTTCAAGTCAACCCCGCTTGGATATGGAAATACTGAAGTACCGTATGTTAGCTTCATCTCAAAGCGTAGCATTTGTAACATTCCTTTATGAATATCGTCTGAGAGTCATGATGAGCGACATAAAGCCCCTTGTACTGGAAAAGATACCTCAGACTGATACTTGTCTTTCAGCTCTTGAACTCGCCAAGGATGCCTTGCCTATTCCCATCTTGAATCATTCTCTTCGAGTCTATCTTCTAGCTCGGTATATCGCGGAGAAAGAAGACTCTCCCTTTCAGTCTGAAGATCAGATCCCACTTCTCTTTGTAGCAGCTATTCATCATGATATTGGAGCAAGCCACCTCTACAATGGAGAGCAACGCTTTGAGATCTGCTCTGCCGACTGCGCAAAGGCCCATCTCGTCAAAAGCGGCTATTCTGAAGCTGCGTCACATCAAGTCTGGACTGCCATCGTAGTACATACGTCACCAGGCATAGCAGAGCGAATAGATCCCCTGTCCCGTCTCATACGCCTCGGCGTGCTCTCTGATTTTGGATCAAAAGATTACAGGACAAGTCTAGGCGTTGACGAATACTACAACGAGATCGAAGAGCTTCTGCCGAGATTAGATGCAGAGAAATGTCTGGGTGACGCAGTTGTCAGTCAAGCGAAAAAGATACCACAAGTGGATAGTCTCACTTGGGCAAATGACGCCAAGTTCCCTGCTGCGAGCTGGCCTGGGATACTGCTACGGGCACATGCCGAGAACCCAGGGCATGAAGGCGTCAATCCAGCTTTCTGAAACACGCCAAAATACTCGGTTGACAGGCGATATCATTGTCGTAGGGAGTGAGATTGGCGGTGTAACCCTTTGGAGAGTGACATGGCGATGATCAAGGGGTGTTGGTGTTGTAGATCTCATAAACGTGGACGATCTCAACTCGGCAGTTTTAGACTAATCACACGAGTCACGCTTGGCAAAAGAGCAGATCTATAGTAGATATACACACGTGGATCCATCGGAAGGGCAGAAGTTAAATAATATTGGATATCAGATCATACACCATCGACTAAAACTCCGTCAAAACGTATTGGGATAAAAAGTAATCTGTACCAGGAAGAATAATAATATAATAATCGAACTTGAAAATAAAAGAATAGGACAAAAAAACTCTCTCATGACAAGAAACGTTAAACGTTGAGGAACCTCATTCATTTCATTCGCTTTCGAAAACACAACCCTCCAAATTTCTAATCCACACCTTCGTCTTGGAACTTTGGTGTCCCTGAACGGCTGAGATTGCTCGGTGTTCTGCTGAGGGGACTGCTTTGTGAGCTTCCCTTTCGAAGCATACCACTCGCTCCACCGCGGCCCCAGTTACCGTTGGTGACGACTTCAAGGGCGCGAGCCTCAGCGTCGTCACGACGTTGAGCTTCTGATGTGAAGTTTGGGCTCAGCTTGCCGTTTTCTGGCTCGGGATTATTGGTGTCGATGAAACCATCCTCGTTATCACTGTCCAAGTCTGCAAGCTCGTCGTCTACTGTTCGACCTCGAGGGCTGAGTCGACTCATAGGCACATTTTGTGTTGCGTCGGCATAAAGGTTAGGATCGCGGCCCAGAACTCGATCAGCCTTACTCATCGTCTTGGGTCCTGCGAGCTTTGGTCCAGGTGTGAAATGTCGTCCTGCTCCTGTAGGTCGTTCGGGGATATCAGGAACATCATCCGGTGATCCCCAACCGGCATTTACCTCACGAGCTCGTTGTTGCTCTCGCTCAGCTTTAAGTCGATCCCGCGCCTCAAGCCACTTGCTACTAGCTTCCCACGTCCAACCATCCCCTGTTGTGTTGGACACAGGGAAGAACCAAAGCGCAGGAGTAGGTCCAAATAGATGCAACAGGTTACGTTTCCAGCCGAGGTCGAAGACATTGGGTAGCTTCTCAGAATCTTGTTCGTCAAGATACTCCTCATATCGCCTTTGTCGTTGTTCTCGTTCTCGCTGAGCGTACGAAAGTTGAACAGGATGAGAACCGTCAGGGGGATATGACCGTCGCTCCTCGCCCTCTTCGGGTCGAGTGATACCAGGTAGAGCGTTTGTGTGAAAGTCGACGAATTGGCGAGCAGCTTCCGGTACGTTGTTTGCGGGGTCGTGGGCCGAGTGGTAGGTCTTGCGCAATGGTGATAGATATCGTGTCTTTTCGAGACACTCGATTGTAGTCTGTCCACAACGAGCCAGATGAATATGCCATCCTGTAAAAGCACCAACAACGAGACCGATAATTCCGCTGATGACGCTCAACATGATAAAATTGACAGGTAGGAAAGTATCGATGTATTCCTGATCATCCAGCGCCTCGTACCAAACCCATGATCCGCTGACCGCAAATGACCAGAAGCAGAAAACAGTCGTATAGATAAGGAACAGGAGGAATGCCTTGTGGTTGCGCAGGCCGATACACGTTGCTAACCAGGGGCAGTGGTGATCCATCTTCAGAACACATCGTCGACACGTAGAGCAGTGATGCGCACGATCAGGCTTACGAGCCTGGCACTTCTTGCAGAATCGAAACTCGCCGTTACTCTTGACCGTAAAGGAGGTACCCTGCGGCGTATTTTGTGTAGGAAGGAGCCCATAACCCATATCGTTCGTCGTCGAGCCGGGAGGTGTAAAGACAGCGGTAGTGTAGCACCAGTTGAGCATAACGTAAAGTACAACGCCTATTATCGAGGAGCCAGTGCCTGTGAAGCCGTTAGACACAAACATTAGCATCACCACAGTCCAGACTTACCTATCCAGCTGCTCTTTCTGCTGGCATTACCGATGCATACAACCACCCATACCGCCCATGATGTCAAACCGTAAACGAAAGCCAGGGGAAAGTATGTCGCAAATGTACAACAGCAACGCTCGATCTTGCGCGCCCATCTGCGAGCCGTCGCCATTGCGCCCGCTCGTATCTTGTCTCTGTAATCTCGAAGCCAATTCAGACACTGTCTCGCTGATCGCTCGTACAACGAATATTCAGATCTCTATTCGAATCGTCTCGTCATAGCGTTGTTCCAGCGTAGCGAACACAGGGGTATCGTTTAGTCGATCTTGAAGAAGCCGTTGTTCGATAGCGGAATCCGGGGAAGAGACAGAGGAGAAGATAACAGCGGGTTTTACTGCAAACTCCCAATCGCAGGCGTCTTTAACGCAAAATACACAAAATTATTAGATGACAAAAGCAAAGTTGACCTGTTGAAATATCCTGAAATTAATTACGGGAGTGTTGTCTTCTCTCATGCATTGCATTGGATTAGAGTGAAGCTTAGGTCATCAGGGGCCAATGGGTTCCACATTTAGCTCCGCTCCGGTTCTAAATTTACAACTCCGCCTCTTTAACGCGTAAACCCGACATGCATCTGCTCTGGCATTGCTACATAATCTTACAGAGGAAGAAATGCTCGTATATAACTGTATTTACTCACATTAGATCACTCGAATTAAAGACTTCACGGCAATGAACAAATACTTGGGCATCGTCAATCATTCAGCTATCTAATGCTAAGAAACATAGCCCAGTCGTCTCAAGTTCATGCTTCCTCAAAACTTGCCAATCTCAAATGCATTCTCCGCAAAAGTCATTCCGCAAATCTACCAATGAATCTCCATTCCCTCGTAAGGGTCTCCTCCATTGACCTTGGGGTTCTCCTGTTGCTCAACGAGGTCCGAGCCAGGGCTAGGGCCTTTGCCAAACGTCTTTGACATCTCATAGCGAACAGTGCCATCCGCGTGTTTCTCCTTTACATCAACCATGCTAGCGAGAAGCTGGTCCATGTAGGCGTTGTACTGCTCCGTATTTCGGATCTTGCACTTGCTGCTGTTGGACTCGACATGCTGGGTGATCGCAGCAAGAGACCCGAATGTGTTGAGACAATAGGGGCAACGGTACTTGGTCGCAGAGTGAGCCTCAGAGTTGAGATGTGCGATGAGGCCCTTTGTAGTCTTGAAGGTCTTGCCGCATCTCCCCATGCGGCAGCCGAACTTCTGGGTATACTCAGAGTAATACCGGGCCACGTTGAAGTTGGGATGGTTGGGGTCGAGATCGTTCATGAGGTTGAAGGTAGTTCTGGCGCTGGGAGCAGTGGCTTGCTGCAGCTGCTCTTGAGTAGGGCGCTGAGCTGCAGGAGCATCTGGGAACAAATTCTTGCCCTTGTTCCAGTTGTTTTCCTTGTTATCCCGGGTACGCTGGAGTGCGGTAGAGCTAGATTCGCCAAGGCTGGGGAACTGGCTCTGCTCAATAGTAAACGGAGCAGGAACGCTTCCAGTTGATTCCCAGGTAGCAGTAGGAAGACCCTTGTCCGCATTCTCGGGCATGTAGCTCCCGTAGTTGTTCTTCAGAGGCTGTTGGGTCATAGCAGTAAGGGCCTGGGAGAATTCCATCTTCTCCTCACGCATAGTCTCAATTGTAGCGGTATTGAGGATAAGGCATTCCTTCTCGACGTGAGATACGAGTCCGCCAACTCGAACGAAAGGGCCCTTTTTACATCCCGTACAGTAAAGGTTTTGTTCCTGAGGATGATCCTGAGGAGGAGTTAGCAAGGCATCATAAGAGACGAAGAGATGAAACCAACCTGCTGGATGTGGGTGACTTTGGCGACTTCGGTATGAAAGTCGCGGCTGCAGAACTGACAGTGAATATGCTTGTCTTTTCCTTTAGCGCTCATCTTTCCTTTGTGGTCATGAAGCTGCTGCCACGTTCTGAAGATTCTCTTGCAAGGATCACACCAGAACTTATTGCTCGTGAGGGTGCCAGACCCCGTTTTATATTCGGAGACCATGACGGCTGTCGTGCCATTGGATTGGTGTTTGACGGTTGCCATTTCCTGTTTGAGGTGAAGGGTGAAGAGAGAAGAGAAAAGATTGGTGTTTGTCTGCGATAATGCGGATGGATGCAGACGTGAAAACGGAAAGATGCAGGAAGGAGGGTGAAAACGAAATTTATATGCAGGTGAAAGCACAGGCAATACGTAAACAAGAACACAATGAGTCACTGTCACTGCGAAGCACTTCAAACCTGCGGAATAAGACTGTTAACGGGCTCGCAAAAGGAGGTGTGAGGGAACAATAAGTTTAAGGGAACAATCAGTTTGAGATAAATAAAAAGGCATCAACCAACGAAGAGTCACAGAAGGACCAATAGACGCAGAACAAATGGCAAAGCTTATCGAGCTATTCTGATTGCTGGGGATTCAGTCAAACTTAAAAATCATTCCGATATTAGTTTAACTCTTATTATGATGCAGCCAAAGGTTACCTCTACAAAATTTGACTTCATTGTTTTCTCGCAGAGAGCGTGAAAGCCAAGCACTGCTCAAACATTGAGTGTGTTGGCAATACTTGCCCATGAAAGAACAGGGAGAAGATAATAGAATGGAATTAGTACCATAGGGGTAAAATGCGAGAATTGTGAGCAACAAACTGTAATGAAGGTTTGGAAATGTGCATATAATCACCACATAGAACTTAGTGCCCAATGCACAATCGTGGCAGGGAATTGTTTGATGATTGTGTTTCCCCTTTGCTTCCTTGCAACTGACTGCATACTGCAATGTCCCTTGCTTGATACTATGATCTGGTACCCGTATTGGCATCTCATCCATACATCATCTCTCTGTCTATATCCTCATCCCTTACAGCTGTCATGTCACCATCCTCATCATCCCCTGAATCATCGTCATCCGAATCCTCGTTTCCGGATCCCATCTCTTCCAATATCCTAGCCTCTTCTTCCCCTCGCTCGACCGCTCGGGTTTCCTCAGCTGGCGCACGCTTCGGTCCTGCGTTAGGATCTCGAACACGCACACTATAACCTTTATGCTTGTTCTTCTTCGTCGGTTGTCGCCCGCGAAGTTGCGTAAGTTCTTCGTCTGTGAGACGTAGATTAGGAAGAGGGAGGTGGAATGTTGCTTGATTGGATCGTATAGGAGTTTCATCTCCTGCTTGTAGCGTCATTGCGAAATCTTCTCGCGTAAGGTGTCGATCGAATTGGATGGCCACAAGTTTTGTCTTCATGATAGCTTTTACTTTTGCCCAAAGACCTCCGTGATACCATCCGCTGCTTGGGTCCCATTCGGGACGGATCGCAGCATTCTCAAGAAGCTCTTTGAGTAGTGGGTCGGTAATATCGCATACTTGCCACACTTTACCATCAGTGTGAAAGGTGTCGCCGTCAAAAACGTGGCTTTCCGAAAGCTCCTCCAGAAATTCCTTCAATGGGCCCATTTGGACCTTGCGTAGCGATTTCCACGTTTGGCCTCGTTGAGCACGCTTCTGCTTAGGAAGCTTAAACATGAGAGTTTGATAGGTTCGATACTTGGGATCGGTTCGCGGATCGATACCATAGGGGACCACACCATCTCTCCATGGCCCTCCTTTGAACTGATAAGCTGCGTAGTTGAGATACTTTTTGAGTTCGTTCCAGTTCTTGAGTTTGCCTCCAAGGTGATTGAGTAGAGACCGCCGTGTCCACACTGGCCGCTCTTCAAAGGCCGCTTCGAGCTCAGCCATGATTTCCACCATTCTAGGATCGGTCATATCAGGTTCAAGTTGAGGTCCAGCTGGTGCAGGGTCTTCTGCGCCAATGAAGTAACCGACTTGCTTCACGGCTGTTGTGTTGACTGTGCCTCCGTCTTCAGTGGCACGTACGTAAGGATTCTGCGAGTATTGGTAGTTGAAAGGGAGGCTCATGTGCGTAAACATTGGTGGTGGTAGAATATCGACATTTGGTCCTTTGTCAGTGCCGGGTTGGAACTTGAACTCCTTAATCTTGTCGACTGCAAGCTGTTAGTATCCTGAACAGATCTTGGAACTCAAAGCCTACCATCTCCAGGGAGAACCTTCTCCACGTATTGTTGCGCAAATAATGATTTAGACATATCCCAGTAAAAGTCCGCAAGTCCACGGAATCGATGCGTGTTTCGAATAACACCAACTGCTTCAACTTGATATTTGTCGACATTGTCCGCCATTGTCCGGCGCAACACTTTGGGATCATCTAGTCTGGCATAAGATGAGACTCTGTCATTTTCTTGTGGTCGATCCTCAGCGTCGTTGATTTCAAGATCTCCTTCCCATGGTCCATCAGTACCACGCTTGCGCTTACGTCCTGTTCGTTTTGGAACAGTGATTTTCAGCACAACATTATGACTGCGGGCATTGTGTGACATGATGGGTTTGCAGAACGGCATCTCTGGTGTTAGATAGAAGGGGATCGAGTTTCTCCCTGCGTCCATGACCTATAATTCCTATTAGTGGAAGTAGAAGACGGAACTGTTATGGATTCTTACATGTTGGAGGTTTGGTACTCGACCGAACGCCTTAATAGTACGGTCAATGTTTTCAACCACAGCAGGAATCTCGACAGCACCAATGGCGCGAGAAGGAACTGGATATCTGGGAGCTGAATCTGGATGAACTGAATCATTGACTCTTTCACCATTATCATTCTCTAGTTGAGTATCATCCAGGCTTTCATAGCCGTTATCATCAGACGAAATCTCCATCTTTGTTTTTTCCAGCTGTTATTGTAGTAGCGACATCAAAAGGAACGCCCAGTTCATGAGAAAAAGAATCTTTGTTGTATCTTCATGTAAGTTCTGTTGTCGCCCTGTAAACTCTGGGTTGAAAAAACAACACTGACAAGTTCCAGATCCACACCCGAACTAACTGTTTATGGGAGTACGTTGGCGACACAGCAGACGCAAGAATAACGACCAATTGGAACTCGCTGATGGATCAGACTCTTGTGCTGATGCTGCCCAAATTAACGGAGGGGAAAAGTCGATACCGCTGTTGCATTGGATACGCGATGATGATGACTTGACGCGATTCTCACCGGGTGCCCTTGAAGATGATTATCACTGTGGCTGGAGATGACGTTTCACGCACTGTCTTTCTGACCTGGAAATGCCTGTAAAGGACAGTGTGATTCTAAGTTGACTCCTGTGGCTGTTTGTGGTCTGTGCTCACGGCCTGGCTTATCATCAGAGTTCTGTAAGGTTTGAAAGCGTAACGATCACGAAGAGTAACAACGAGAAGAGAAAAGTCCAAAGAGTAAAGATATCCATCTAATTCATGCCTAATATGATCCGATGCTACATTTGAAATTCGTAGTCTAGCTATGGAATGTTCTCACTCGGACCCTTTTCTCTCACCTGAATTTGTACCTATATGCCTCCAACAACAAAACTGGCTTACAATCAGTCAATTACTAGAAATAGAGTATCACTGATATGCCAAAGTTCAAAGGAAATATTGACGTTCGTCGGATGTTCTTTGTTCTAGAGCGGAATTTAGAGATTCTGTTTATCTGCGACTGAACATTACCATGTTAAATACCCGTCCTCTTACACAGCCTACCTGTAATTTCGGCCGTGTGACTGGTTCAACTAACATCTAGTGGCACTCCAACTTGACTCCCTTGACGCCCACTTCTTGGCAGATCGGTAGTTAATGTCCTTTCAGTGAACTTTGAAATAACTATAAACAAAATATAGTGATACAAAATAGTCAGAATAAAGTCAGTATTAGACGCATGAAACCCAGTGTATCTTAAATTATAGAACGCATTGATCCAAGATTCTCCCTAATTACCAGCTCCTACCAAGCATTGGGGTCCATTCAGGAGGGGCAAACCCCCCTAATGTGCCTCTGCAGCGCCTCTAGTGGTTTCACCGCCCGTTCCCAGTCATCCCAACCAGGGTCAATCCAATTGAGCTCACCAGGCATGCCTAGGGGATCTGTTAGCGATAGTACAGCATCTACACACTGTCACTAACAGTTGGTGATCTACTCGAACACCATAACCCGAACCTGACCTCCCTCTCCAATAATCGAAGCGCGTTCCCTCCAACTGGAGCTTCCACCCCCCCGCAAAGCACAATACATACTCTTCGCCGGCGCCCAACGACAATCACGTCCCGTCCGCTACCTACGACAAGTTTCCGATTTCCTCATCGACGACAACGAGGCTCGAGTCTGAAGCCGCCGTGAGCATCTCGACCACGCCGCGTCCTTGACATTTCTTCTTCTTCGTTCCACTTCCAGTTCTACTTTGCTCCTCACGACCTTTGATCTTACTACGTTTTCTCCTCCCTAAGACAAGACAGCAGCACCAAGAAGCATCAGCAGAGACCAACCGGCCGAGCCCCCGTTCCAGTTTCCCACCCTCCTGCGCAAGTACCAGCCAGCGCCTCAGTCTGTACCAGCGCCCAGCACACGCACTTGATTGCACCTCGTCTCAACGCACTGTCGCCCAACACCTACCAAAGATCTTCAGCTCTGGCTGGTTCAGTGCTTCATCGTTCTTCTCCTGCATGGGATCAATCGCCGCTTTTCACTTCCCGAGTAGTCTTTTGACACCAGCTGCCTCAGCCTCATCAGCTTAGAAGCTCTCGTACTCGCGGTCTTTCGTCCGGCTCGCAACAGCACCATAACGCTCTCGCCAGGCTGGCCCCTCTCCTCTTACCTTGAAATTGACCCATAACAACGATTATCGACATCGCTCATCGCTACGACGCCTCGATTCATTGATATTGTTGCTTGCACAGCTGTTATCACACCCTCAACGTCCCTTTGCCCCTGACGTCGTTGCCCTGGTGCCCCACTGCCTCATACTGTTGAGCAGCGGGCGTCTTAAACCGCCCCTCCATACGATACGCTGTTGTCCGACAAGATGAAGCGCTTCAGTCAGAGAGTTGTATGTCACTGTTTCTTTATTATCTACTATTTCTGCTCGTGCTAATGCCATCCAGCTCTCGCGTGGGAAAGATCCAAATAAGTCTTCTAAGAAGAACAAGGATTCCAAGGATGGTACCGCGTCTCCCTCATCACGGGATTCCAATCAGTCACCCGTGCTCACGCCCTCATCCTCCACGTCGACCTTGAACGATCCTAGAAACAAGCCACTGCCACAAAACAATGCTGGTCACGGAGGCGAACACGGCAGCGGCTCGCAGCCCTCCAATCTGTCCAATGTAACTCAGGCCGGTAGCACCCCTGATCGCTTTGCAACTGGAGGCGCTTCGAGCCCCAACGGTGGAAGTGCCAACTCGAGACTTCCCCCAACTGTTGTTATCAGCCCAACACCAGGCGTAAGTTGAATTTCTTGTTACCGTTCAGTCTCCGACTTTCGACTAATCACATTTATCACAGCATGTCCCTCCCCCCGGAGCCGCCGAGACGATGCCACACGATTTGGCCCCTCCTAAAGCAGGACAAAAGTCGCTCTTGATCCATCGAGGAATAGATAACCGCGATGCGATTCCCGAGGGACTCAGAACCCCAAAGAGACAGCATTCTTCACGATTCGACATCTCCGCCCACCGCGAGCTCGAAAAGTTGCCTGGATTCCACGAGGTCCCCCCTAACCGACGGCAGGAACTTTTCATGCAAAAGATTGATCAGTGCAACGTCATTTTTGACTTTAACGATGCGAGTGGTGACATGAAGTCCAAGGAGATCAAGAGGCTTGCTCTGCACGAGCTGCTGGATTATGTCGCCAACAACCGACAAGTCATTACAGAACCCATGTACCCCAAGGTTGTCGACATGTTTGCCAAGAACTTGTTCCGTCCGATCCCACCTCCAATGAACCCTCAAGGCGAAGCTTTTGATCCCGAAGAGGATGAGCCCGTTCTCGAGGTCGCTTGGCCGCATATCCAGGTCGTTTATGAGTTCTTCCTGCGCTTCATTGAGAGTCAGGATTTCAACACCAACATCGCCAAGGCCTACATTGACCACAGCTTTGTCCTCCAGCTTCTTGAGCTTTTTGACTCAGAGGACCCCCGTGAGCGAGACTTCTTGAAGACCACCCTCCATCGCATTTACGGAAAATTCCTTAACCTACGATCCTTTATTCGACGATCCATCAACAACGTCTTCTTCCAATTCACCTACGAAACCGAGCGATTCAACGGTATTGCCGAGTTGCTCGAGATTCTTGGCTCTATTATCAACGGATTTGCTCTCCCTCTGAAGGAAGAGCACAAGATCTTCTTGACCCGAGTGCTATTGCCACTGCACAAGCCCAAGAGTCTGAGCATGTACCACCCTCAGCTAGCCTACTGTATTGTGCAATTCTTGGAGAAGGATGCTTCCCTTACAGAAGATGTAAGTTGTACTGGTCGTTTTTTAGACGTCATACTAATCATCATAGGTGGTTCTGGGACTACTCCGTTACTGGCCCAAGGTCAACAGCACAAAGGAGGTCATGTTCCTCAACGAAGTCGAGGATATCTTTGAGGTCATGGATCCTGCAGAGTTCGCAAAGGTGCAAGAACCTTTGTTCCACCAACTTGCCAAATCCGTCGCCAGCCCTCACTTCCAGGTTGCTGAGCGAGCCTTGTACTTCTGGAACAACGAGTACTTCTGCAATCTTGTCAGCGACAATGTTGAGATCATTCTACCCATTATGTTTGCTCCTCTCTACGAGAATTCAAAGGGCCACTGGAACAGGTATGCTTCGTTGAACGCTTTGATGGATCCAGTCTAACTGTTGCAGAACGATCCATGGCATGGTCTATAATGCTATGAAGCTGTTTATGGAGATTAACCCACAGTTGTTTGATGACTGCTCGCACGACTACACAGAACAGCAGAACAGCGCAGCAGCACGCGAAGCTCTTCGAGAGCGCAAATGGGCTGCTTTGAGCGAGAAAGCCAACCAACAGAGGGAAAGCAACGGCAATGGAACGGCCGATGCCCCATCAGCACAAAACCATGTCAACCCCATGCCTCGTGTAGACGAAGTCGACCCAGTCACCGAGGATAATTCGAAGCGCCTCGATTCGCTTAAGTTGCAAGACGGCCGACCCAATCTCCACGAGCGACAGAACTCTGTAGGATCTACTCGAAGTCGGTAATCCAAGTTAACAGCTATCCAACAATCGTCAATGCATCGAACTTGGATAAGAAAGGGATGAATGCCCTTCCAAAATCGAATACAGAGGGACACTGGTGGATTCGGATAACGATCATTGCTGCATAGTCGTGTTTGGCGGTGGTATTATGATTATGAGAAGGGATTGGTTTTTCGCGGTTCAATAATGGACTAAAGAACACGCGTACTCGACATACAGTCACTTTTAGTGGGATTGGGACTGGCCATTGTGAGCACCGCCGCTATATTTCGCCTTTTGACCCATCAACCTTCTTTCTTGGTTTGCGCCTCAGCTAGACCACATTCAGGGGGATTGCTCTGGGGAGGACAAAAGCGTGCAGATATTACAATGCTACTGAGTTCCTCTCTGGCTCTCAAGATGACAAGAAAAGAACGCGTGTTTTTATACTATATTGCCTGTCGTGGCATGATGGGAACCGAGCATTAAAAAAATCATGGATGTCTACGCTTCTCGTGTAACTCTTTGGGGCGAATACTTAACTTTGTTTGTCTTCTTTTTTCTTTACTTCTTCTGGCTGTCTCACCTTTTTTACCCTCCCGCGACATGGAACCGGGCGCATGGAGGAGCTGTAGGTTCTTCGCTGGTCCCGGGTTTGAGTTGTGTTTTTGTGCTTTTGCTGTGTGTAAAGAAGAAGGAAAAGGGATTGAGGGTCTGCTTGGTTTTATGTAGACGATGAATGAGCAAGACTAAAATTAAAGTCATTACTATTACGACATGGGTGATTCATGGATCAGATGGTGAAAGATGTGAATCAAATTCAGATATCTATAATTAGCCTGTAGTTGTACATCGGAGTATCTCGTTACAAATGTCTCGTTGAACATTTTACCATCCTCGTCCTCGATCATATCCACCCCTCCCTCTACCACGATATCCATTTCCTCTCCCCCTTCCTTGATATCCGTTG